CACAGAACTGATTCAGAAGTCAGCAAACTGAGGCTTTCTCTCCCAAAACCTACCCCTCTCAGGAAGCAAATTTCAAGAAAATTCAGGTATGCCTTCTACTGAGAGTTTCAGGATTCCAGAAGTAGGCAATCGTGACAGAAAAATTCCAGAAAGCTATGTCCTGCCTTTAAAGATGCTTCCTCCACTCTCTTTAACCGGGAGAGATTCATTGTAGACAGAAGAGGAAATGTAGAAGTCCCACAACCAGATTTCCTCTCACAAAACCTTCTTCCTACAGAACTGCTGCAAGACTGGAGGGAGAAGCCAAAGGCATCACATTTGGAAAGCAGATCCTCCTAAACTTTTCCCTAAGGACTTTTCTAGCTTGAAGATGGAAAACTGGACTTTAAAATCTTTTTTCAGTGAATTGGCAATTCCTCCTCTGTTCATGATTTAAAAATGTGCTTTCCCTCCTATGACGGGTGAAGAGTAGAAAACCCAACACACACTAGCCAAATGGACCCCATGGGAGAGACTACAGTTCAGCCAATGGCCTTAAATAAAAATATTTGTCCTGGATGTCCTCTCTCTGTCCTAATGGTTCGTGGCAGCAACTGTAAAAATAACTTGAGCATCATAAGTGTTTGTGGATACTAACGTAGAGGAACACTAAGTCATAAATTTCAGTGCACAATAAAAAAAGGGGAGAAAAGTGAAAAAAGGTTTCGCCTACAACCAAAACTCGCCTGGTTATTCAAAGAAAGATTTTCAATACCTAAAAGCAGCTAGAAAGCCCAGCCAAGAGGAATAAACACACGTGGCATTCACTTTTTATTCAGTGTAATACGAAACCCAGTGCTCCAGCTGAGAGACAAGAAGGTAGGCAGGAATTAAGTAATATTTTTTAAAGTAAGAACATCTTAATTTCAGTCATTTGTCAGTCCAGCAGTGAGCATAACCTCCTGGAAGAAGAGTAGTTTGCACTGTGGCTCAGCCATATAATGCCATAACAGCCGCTTAAAAATGGTTGCTGTGCACGTTATTAGCTGTGGCACAAGAGATCCAAATCTTCATGACAGAGTACTGGCTCTGCTGAAAATACCACGGCTATGTAAATTCGTTTAAGCAATCCTAGAGGTATGTATTTCAGCAAGAGCTGAAGTACAGCTCCAAATTTTCAATGAATTGCTGACAAAATATTTTTTCTACAGTCCGGTCAGAAAGGCATCCAGAGCTTAGCTTCGAATTTACAAAAAAGGAGACAGAAATATATTTATGCACTTTTACATGGCTGTATCTCATGCATACTCTTACACATCAGAAAGTAACAACATTACTAGACAAGGGAGATAAAAGTGATTTATTAATGGACCAAGAATTAGTTCAAACCAGGAACATTATTTGAATGATAAAGATGGATACCAAAGCGTGAGTAGAGACACACCAGAGTCCAAGTTTATACTAAACATAACCTCAAAGCAACAATGAATGAATGTGTCTGTCTTTCACACACCTAATTGCAGAAAACTGCAATTCATTCAATATCCAAAATAGTTTTGGAAACAGAAGGCTCTAATGAAAGCATAGCTATTTTAAGCATAAAGCACATGCAAACCTACACAATTTCAAAAGCGTCCTAAAAAAGACAGTACCGTGTTAGGAACAGCACTAACCCAAGGCTAAAGCTTAGCTTTTCACCTATCATTGTCAAGACAAGAATCTTCAACTTTCATCGGACAAAGAAAATAACATTATTTCTACAAAAATAAGAAATCCTGTGTATTGTTCAGCTTCCTGTTCACAGTGAAGTACATGTTAGTAAGCCAATTCTGGACACTATATGCTCTGCCTGATGACAGGAACAAAGCAGCACTTGAAGCTAGTAAATAGAGAGCAATGAAAAGTTCCTAACAGTTTTGTAGAGAAAATATATGCACATGGCTGGCATCAGTAGACCCTTCTCCTGAACTCAGAATTCCAGCAGAGAAAACTGCTGGTGTAGACAGGACATAAGAAAATCAGCACAAGAGAGCTGGCTAGCTTGCTTCCCACTGCTCAGCAATAGGAAAAAGAAAAGCAAGCATGCAATGGAAGGCATCATCATTACATTACGTAACTGTATCCATCCATGCATATCTCACAGTGGAAGAATTAGTGCTAATAAGAGAAACAGGCTTTCAGATTTAATTCCAGACTACCCTCAGGACAAAGCAATTCTAATATTCTAGAAAAAAAGAGAAAACTACTTGGACTGGGAAGTTCAGCTGTGTGACTCACAACTAATACTCAAACATTCTTAAAGTACATGCTTTACAAATCAAAAAATTATAGGAAAATGTAAAGGAACTGAGATACAAGCTGCAGGTACCTTGTGAAAATGTAGTTAGGTATTCATAGGATTAACTGGCTATCTTCTGTAATTAAAGCTGAACGAAGAACAACTTGTTGCTTACGAAATACATGCTGCGTTACTACTGCCAAAAGAACAAGCAAAACACTCTTGATTTAAAAAAAAAATATTAAAAACTCTTTTAAAAAAAAGATACTTCAAGAATTTACAATGACTTCTACTTTTAAGGACTATTAACTTTGTTGGCTCTTTCAAACCTTTAACTACAAGCAATACTTCATGCAGTACAGGCTCACAAGATACATTTATGGCCTAAGATGAAAGCACTACATTAGTGTAACTCACTGGCCTATGGCTAACTGGAAGAGAAAAGGAAATAAAGCCCAAACCAACCAAACCAAACCAAATGAAAAAACCCTACAAAAACAGAAAAAAAGGACTTTGTTTAAATCAGCATTACAGAAGGAATGGTACACACTACCAGATTTCCACTGGAAATATGGACAATAAACCTCTTACACCAACCTTTTTTTTTTTAAATAAAAAAGGATGTGAAAAAGTTACTTTCTTACCTCCCTCTCTGCACCAAGCAGACCAAAAATACTACATGTATTCTAATACAGAAATAGTTTATTTCAGGATGGAAATAACTTTCTTTAAAAAATTTATTATGAAGAAAGACCATATTTTTCTATTTTAATTACCCTCAGCTGTGACAAATGTTATCTCACAATAAGAACAGATTAACATGAGGGAGAGTCAAAGAGTAAATGTATTTCTTGAGATGGGAGACAGAAGAAATGGACTGTGAGATGATCAAATGAAGCGAGGAACAAGATGAAACAAAAAATGGCTCTAGAGCTACAAAGAGACAAAAATCAGTCTCATTCTAGCAAAGATTTATATTTTTTACTTTGAAGGTAATGCTGTTCAAAAGCTTGACACTGCAATCCATTTTCTGGTTTAGATTCTGCACTTGTGAAAGCACCTTTGTTGACTTAAAAACAGTATCAACATTACTGAAAGATTTCCATTTATATTTTGGTTCAAGACTACTTCGTAAAAGGTCAGGAAACACACTACAAACTCATTACTTTTTCGTTCAGTAGGGAAAATAGATAATGAGCTTTGAGACTTAACTGGCCAATGCTAAAGATGCTATGAAAGAAAACCAAATGTGTTATTTTCTTAATGTCTAGAAGATATTCCAATACTTCTTTGTATATTCCCTGTATGAGGAATTCAGCATTCTGACAGGAATGCAAACATTCTGCAACTGCCTTAAGACAGCACTAGGATTACTCATTTCTACCCATCTCTCTTCCTCCTTCATTGTTTTACATTTTGTATAGAACTTTGCATCTTTTTTTTCTTTCAAGACTACTCTGAAGAGGCACATTTCCCACCCACAAACATGCATAGTGGAGGGAAGACATTTTCATTGTAACACCAACAGAATGTACTTCAGACTAGAAAGACCAGGGAAATGGATACCTCAGCATTTATTCTGATGCTACATTTATTCTGCAACTACTTTCAAAATACAAATTTAATACCATGATGACAACTTCTTCCAGCTCTGCCTGTCCTTCATATCTCAGTCAAAATACATTTTGGGGTATCTTCAATGCATAAAGAAAATGAAGGATAATAAAGATAATTATCTGCAAAGTAATCTTTCACATGCACTTATATTGACCGATGCCAAAACCCTGAAACTTTTAACATTTACCTTCTGAAAGCTATTTATGTCCTGAGCAAACTGACATGGTTATGAAAAAAGCCCAGCAACAAACAAATATTAAAGTAACTATTACATTACAAACTCTACTAAATTACATTTGCTTTTCTTTCAACAATCTTAACTATGTTTAGAGACTTTCCAAGTACCTAGTAAACCTTCGACAAGTCTTCCTAGTTAAATGTTTTATTTAAACATTACCTTCAAAAGAATTCTACAAGAACATATAAACTATGTTATTTTTATTTTTTTTTTCCCCTTGGAATTATGGATGTTACATTTAACTGAATGTGTATCCTTGCTGAGACAGGGCAGAGCATTTCTCAAATGCATAACTGACAACAATATTTACAAGAATGGCCATTAGCAAAAAATATAAAAGCTTAACAGAATTGGGTGCTCTTGAAGCATGAAAATGAAACATGCAAGATTCAGAAACAAAACATCTTCTCTGTTCTGGTATAAAAATGACTGCACGTTGTACTGCACAGCAGATCTGTTAAAAACAAAACAAAATAAAAACACAGAAAACCCCCATGTTTTATGCAGTATGCACAAGTCATAGAAGTCTTCCTAGCATAACCCAGTAACTGAAGTCTCTGAGACTATATAATACATTGACTTTATTTCAAAAGTCTCCACAAATCAGCACGTAAGTATACATTAGTTTGCATTCTAGAACCCTGTTTCATTATAAAAACAAACAAGAGCATGATTTTAAGACATATATAGATGTGCAACAAAAACGCAGTCTTGTTTTAGCAGCAATCAAAACAGTCAGTGAAAGCATAATTAAAATTATCTCTTATCACCAGCTTCTAGATAGATCATAATTTACTACTTAGTGTCGCAATTTTAGAAATTTTAATAGAGAGATTTATGCTGGAAAAACACCTAATTAAGAGGGGGGAAAAATCTAAAGATACATACGACCAATCAGACTCCAACTGCTCTTTGTAGACTTTAAGGACATGAAAAGCCACAGTCAGATTCCCAGGATCTAGCAGTTCTCTCACTTTCTCTGAGTTAAGACACGTGAACAGGATCATACAACAATAGGCAACAATCTTCTCATCATTGTACGTTAGGCATGTCCTTCAAGAGAAAATATGGCATTAAGAGGGTAAGCTAAAACTGACCCTGGAAAAACAGATTAGTGGCATTCAGCTTGTTGAGTTGTTTTTTGCTGTCTCTTAGAGAATCGTTAATTTAGCACTGCCTAAGAAGGACAGTTGTAAGGAAAGAAAAATATCAAACTCCTAGCTGAAGATTAAATTTAACAGGCAATTTACAAAACTGATGATTAATTGGGGCTATCTGGAGATCTAAGAATTGGGTGAAACTATAATAACTATCTGCTTCTATTATCATAGGGTCTTTCTATATCCAGTGCTTAGAAGCGGGGTCCAAAAAAACAAAAATTAAATAAGTATCAAATTAAATGAATGTGCCTTTGCTATTAGTTCACTATGAACAATGTGGCCAAACACATTAACAGTATGCTCATGTGTCTGCACAAAATAATTCCTGTAATATTTTATTACATGTATGTCATCAGACCTCCAGGAATATATTCTGGTGAGGTTAGAAGGGGGGCAAAAGCATTGCAAGACACAAAGTTTTAGTCACACTTGTAGATTACATCTGATCCACAAATACTCCCAGGTTGGCACAGCAGCAAAGTGAATAAAGAAAAAGCTAGGTTCTTGGAAATGAGTATAACTACTTGAAAACACCTCTGAAATAAACCTTATACTTGATGCTCATCATTTGAAACAGAGTTTCCTTCCAGTCTCTGTTAAGTGAAATCAGTTTACTGTGAGTTTAGAACAAGCAGGTTTTTAAAGGTCCTGACGCCTGCGGTTGACTAACAAAAAAAACATCTACAGGATATGGTCTCAACCATCCCATTCTCCCCAAAGTTATTTTTCAAAGCTTTATGGTGCCAGTAGAGGCACAACTATCATGTAGAAAAGATTTGAATATAACCACAGAAATTACATTATTAAAAAAACCCGCATCCATGCTTACAAGAAGAGATCTGGGAAAGCACACTTCCAAATGCTATTCTGGGAATCTCTGTTTCCTGCAGCAATGTTTCCAAGAAACTGGAGGCTACAACGAAGGGCTGAAAAAAAAAAAACAACCCAGAAAATATATTAATATAGGAATTCAAAGAAACACTAGTAGATTTCATCAAAATGGCTATACACTACAGAATCCATCTCAATAACCTTTGGGTTCCGTAGTTCACTGCTACTGTACATAAATATTTGCATCCTGTCTTCTAGTGCAAATAATTTTACGAAGTATTCTACAATTATACCCAAAACAAGTTGGTTTTTTTTTCCTCAGACTTATGTGAATACTAAGCATTGGTTACTAGTGATTACAAGAATTAATGGACTCTGTAAAGGTTTAAGACAGATTGAAATCAACAAAAGCTTGAAGCTAAAGTAAGCACAAACTGAAGCAGACACATTGAACCAGTGGCTACCACATGGCAGTGGCCATTTTGCCTCTTCAGGATCTTAGGTGTCTTTCTTCCTCATATTAAGGTAACAGAAATAAGGCCTCCAGTCACCACTTGAACTCTGCAAGCAACTTTGCCTTCCACTAAGAAAGCTCCCCAGGCAGACTTCCCAGGCTAACCAGAGACAGCCAGAACATTTTGTTGGAGCAGGTAGAGCCAGAGCAAGATAACTGAATCTGTTCCCTCACTACCCACATTAAATTCTATGTAGCTGGGCAAATAACTATATAATATGACGATGTGCTCGATACTTCCTGATTTGTATCCCAGCAAAATTGAAGTCAGTACTCCAAAACAATTTTTAGCACTGAATTTAATATGGTATATTTCTACTATTACTATAAAGGTTTTATTCCAGCCTCCTCCCAATACATACTTTAAATATGGAAAGATGTTATTTCATCATACACATTAATATCCTAGACCCAGCCAAAAGATGTAAATTTGTGAAAAACAAAAGCATGAATCCACAGACCTAATAAAATTAAAACACTTTTTTGTCACTATTGACAGCTCTCAATAGCCTAGCCCTTATTAACAGGTTGGCAAAGAAAGTTAAAACTAAATGTTAAAATGAAGTTTAAGAGTCATTACAAAGTGCAGCCTATTACAGATGGAGGTGGCTGATACTGCCAAGTTCTGAAAACACAAAAGTAGGTCTCTTTGAAAGGAGCTGTGCCAGCTGGCAGCCAGATTTCCTACAGAGGTCCAGGCACATGTCCCCTTGGGAACAAAAAGAAAGCAAGTCTAAAATTGGTCATTTGGGCTTAAGGAATAGTAGGGGTTTTTTTCATACATATTTTTTGAGCCCCAAACAGGTATGTTCTCTCCATGCTGCATTTTGAATAATCTTCTCCTTTATGCTTTAGTTCTTAAGATCTGTGTTCTCTCCTTGCACATCTGCACATTTAAATATTATTTTCTGCCTGTCATTATGCTTCCGCTTCTCCCATCCATCTGGTTCCCATCCTGCTGACTCAGAATTTTTCTGAAAGACAGCAAGCATGGGCACGCTACTTTCCTAGCAGACATTTTATGGAAATACTTCCCTGTCAGAGAAAACATATAAGGCAGTAAATCCTAGGAAAAGGGTATTATTTCTCTTGGTGAACTCCTTATGGCCTCTACTATGAGAAAGATCTCTCAGGGAGACATGAGGTTGGTTGATTATACTCAAATTTTTACCTGAAGCTTACTTGATCCTTTTCAACTATTTTGGTCATGAGAGACCAAACTGTCAAAAAACAGACTACAATCTAGGAAAAAAGTTTAAAATCTTTTAAAAGTTGCCATTCTTACTGTAACAATTATGAAGTGCTATGAACATATTTGCAGTACAATAAGAAATATCTACAAATTCTCCATTTATCACATTCTGGAGTCTTAATATTTGTGAAAGCAACCAATGCTGTCCTTGCTAAATCATGACACCCTGAAAAAGCAAGACAGATCCAGGAAAAGGTGACAATTCTGTGGATGCAGCATGGAAAAAGATAGTTTCACCTGCAAGTGCTCATTTTTAATGAGTAATGGTTAACATTTTTCCTTTAATTAAAAATTTAATTTCTAAATTTAATTAGAAACAATTCAATATATGGGCAAGTAGATTATAAGGGAGACTAAAACAACTGTATATATTCACAACTAAGCAGAAAAAGAGATTGCCTTGATAATGCAACATTTCCCCATGCAAGTATCATCATATGAATGTCAATAATTTAAAAAAACCTATGTGATTCTACAAACACCTGAGTTAATTAAGATACACCAAGAGTACAGATTACAAACAGGACCTAGCTCACAGTCTGTCCTATCAATTTATGCACTCTGTCGCAACTACAGTGCAACTGCTGCACTGCTTCTGTACTGTGTAAACTCCTTTTCCCTA